TTCTTTTTCCATAAAAGAGGGCAAATTCCATTATTTTGGGGAAACCTGCTGAAAGTCGTCTCGTGGGTCTAGAGAAAAGTCGCTTACCTTTCACCAGGAAGGTCCGGGTTTGATTCTTAGACGATCTCGTGAAATTTGACGTGACATATGACATACCGATAATGGAGGCGCAAAGCTGACAACGCCCTATTAACCCCTCCAAATCTCAAGCCATCCTATTCACATATAAAACCTATCCATCAAAACTACCTCCCCTCACAATAAACAACACCCCCATCTCCTGACAGTCCCACATAAAATACCACAGCATCACTCTTTCCCGTGGACTCTTTTCGACCCATCACATCCTATGCACCATCACCAAAACCAACAGACTAACCAATGCCCTCTACCATTTCCCCACAAATCCTAATCCTTCAATTCCAATTCCCAAAAAATCCAAGCCTACAGTACTTAAAACTCGCTCAATCTTTTCCTATTCCTATCCCACCTGGTACACTATTTCAAAAAGAAACCGCAAAAAACTAATCACCACTAAAAATAGAGATCTCAGATCCATCTTCCGCCCACCACCCTATACCCGCTACAATGATCCCCGCAAAACCCACAACATACCTCACACCATTTCTTACCTCCGTAATTTCGCAGTTATCCAAATCCATCAATTCATAAATTACCCCAAATTCTAAAACTTCATGCTACCCCATCCTTTGAAACCCTCCCCGACTTACACGCAAAAAGCACCCCCTAATATCCGTGTCAACTTCCGGTTCCGCCCATTAACCTTAAACACAGGCGCAACTAAGAGAAAAATTAAAAACGAGACTAAAGCCTAACCTGACAATGAGCTGTGACTAAACGCCACACATAAGAAAATTTCCTTTCATACCCCCCCCCCCCCAATCGTCCAAACACCAAACCAAAATAACATTCCTCCACTCACCCCGATTGTCACATTGCACGAGATCGAAGAGTCTCAAACCAAAACTACTAATCAGCAAAAATGTTCTCAGCGTGAAGAGTCATGAAGAAAAAGGGACAGCACTCTATAAAACACCACATCGCCCTGCCTACCTCCCACAATCAACGGACTTGGAGATGCGTTGCATCTTTATAGAGCCAACAAAGAAGTCATGTGGAACCATTATCTTTCCTTTTTTATTACAATTATCTGATACCACTTGTATAAGTTTTTCATCTGAATTTTCCATAAAGGCTGACTATAATTCAGTTTTATTTCAGTATGACTACTTAACTTCGAGGTTAAAACAGCACCACACTAACAGTACACACTGTTCATAGTGGCATTCTAACATGAAAATATGTGATATGGAGTAAAGTGCGTATGTGCCAAAAACTACTGAACAAACTATAATCCACTTTCTTCTATAATTTATTGGGAAACTATTCTCTAGAACACATTAGCTTCTATAACACACTTAGCCGATTCCCCCTGAGGTTTATTAAAATTTCTATCTCCTCTCACCCAGAATTCTTATCAGAAAAATTATTCTCTGGGGAAGAAATAAAAACTTTGCCCTCCAGAATCCTATTGCCGTCGCCATTTAGATTACAAAGAGAAAAAGAAAAACGTGCCACAGTTTCCAAACATGGAACAAATTACATACTTTCTGGGTTAGGTTTCAGTCAATGATATCACGTGGGTTCTTATTCATAAAAAATGATGTTTTTCATTCACAGTTAGTATTACTGAATATTTCCATATTTTACCCATTTCCAACAACTGTTAAAATAAGCATTTTACCCTTACCATTTCTTTTTCAGGGGCATCTTGAAGGGCCCAAATGAAGCGTTTTGGTTTTTTTGTTTAAAAAGCTTTACTAATTCTTAGGGTTTTCCCCAAACCCCCAAATTTTTTTTTTTCCCCCCGCGGAAAAAGTTTTCCTCTTTTCCGGGGTGG